GCCGGAGTCGCCCTGAGAGAGGGGACAGGAGTTCAGTCAGTAGTGAATAAGTGGGAGGGGAGGGGAGGGGCAGATTACTTACATTACAAATGCTATGCTCATTCTCAGTGGCGCACATGTTTTCCGGCACTTTATCGTATTTGATTTGATCCATGCACTTCTGGTGTCCCATGATTGTGATCCGGGTCTTTCTGAGCACATCCGACTGGATCTTGGCGTAGGCATCCACTGCGCCGAACCCGGAAAACAGGGCGTCCTCATCGTTCTCGTTCACAATGTCTTTGGTGGGCATACAGGCGCTGTTAATGGTGTACACCTGGCCGTCGAACGCGGGTTTGACGGGTTCGGACAGTTTGATGAGTCCGATGTCAAACACTAAGGGCTTTATATACCACTCGACGTCACATTTGACGGCAAATTCAAACTTTTTCAGTGAACCCAAGTATACCTTAATGTTTGCATTCATTCTCTGTTCGATTCTGTAGTCAATATGAATGGGAAAGGGATCAGTCATTGAGAGTAATGTTTAATTCGTTGATAGAGTGAGTGAGCGAGTGAGTGAGAGAGAGAGAGAGAGAGAGAGAGAGAGAGAGAGACTCACTGCCAGATGCAATGGGCGGCAGTCACTATGAACCGGTCCCCGAACAGTGCCCCACCGCATAAGTATGTATATCTTTTATTGGCTAAATCGTGAATGGATGCCATCCACGGGAACTCCCCCTTCTCAGCCACAGCGCCGTTCACAATACGCGTCTGAATACTGGAGCCGTTGACCAGACCACAGGTTTCCGTATTCATTTCGAGGTAGTCGTGGCCCACCTTTCCGTGTTTGTTGGGATCAATTTTGGGGTATACCCGGTCTTTCACTGGTGAGCCCATCCCTAACCCAAACGCATACATACCTTAACATTGAATTTAGAAATTAGTTTAATAGTAACGGATTTGTTGATTGTGTTAATTACCAGTCAACACAACCAGTAGTGTATGAGATAGTAGTGAATTCATG